GCACTGAGGACCAAATTAATTTTACTTGACTTTGCTTCCAAGAGTCATCTGTCTAAATCAAAATTTCTGGATGCTCTATAATCAGTAATCTGACTTCAGCCATGTTAGGCACTTTTTTTTAGATGAGCTGAATCTCTTCCTGGAGATGCCTATTTCTTTCTGCTGACTGGAGTGCTTAAGAGGAGTGGCTTAGCCCTAGGAAACTATCTCCTCCTGGACTTCCACATTTGCTGGGATAAATACCGTACTTTGATAGATAGCAGTATACTTTCCAAACCTCCTTCCTACACATCCTTTCCTATACTTCCTTTCCTCCACATCCATGGAAAAGCAACACTTTAAAAAACATTATAAGCTTGGATTTCAAGGGAAGATTGAATTTATCTGGAGGAATTTCCAGATCTTTCAATAATGTTTAGGGTAAAGATAGAGGTAGGGGTTGGGGTGAGGCGGGAATTACTCTGACAACTTTTTATTTAATTCGAGGAAACAAATGGATAATTCAAACAGGATGCAGAGGGTGGAATGAAGCTGCAATAGTACAGCAGAACTGATCTGCATCCTGTGATATAGAAAATATTAAACTCTGACAGGGCTTAACATTTTGTTGTTATTTCAGTAAGTATAGGAGGGGACTGAGTGGCATGTGAAAACAGTATTTTTGTACCAGATATTACATTTTAGTTCTTTCTCCAGGCCGGTGAAACATCTGTTAAACCACAAGTAGCAGCAAGAGATAAGTTGAAAGTTTTATGTTCCAGTTTTGTGGAAACATACAACCTCTGTAACTTTAAAAGCACATGTTAATATGTAGAGCTGTTGTTCTCAAACTCTGTTCCATTTTCTGTTAGACAAACGGTACAGCTGTGCCACAACACTAAATTGAACAGCAATATACATAATTCATCAGTCCCATGTGGCACCCATTTCTGAAAGGGTTAAGTGGTTCAGGGCTGCATGAGTAATTCACTGGGGTTTTGGTTTTTTTTTTGCTGGCCAAATGAAATAAAGCATTTTAATTGGTTTGGGGTTTCTGATCACCAAACCCCTCACTTTCCTCTATGGAATTGTTGGCATATGGAAAGCAATGTTTTGTGTGTTAAAAGCTGAATGAACATACAAAAACCTAAATAAAAAAAAATAAATGTTTCATTGATCTGAAACAAATTGCTTTAATTTGGTTTTCGGCATTTTAAATAAAGGCAAAGACTTAAGCGACAAACAGCCTTGTATCCTCCTTTCCCCTCGGTGCTCTGTAGCTCAGGACATCAGACAAACACGCAGTGAGGGGTCAGAGACCTTTCTTTGCCAGGATGGGGAATTGCGCTGTAGCAGGTCCCTGACATCACCTATTCCACACTATGTTCAACTATTTACTGGGCAGAAAAGGAGTGAGGATGATTCTGTAGGTTGATGATTGTAGTGCTTGTCTCATAGTGAGAAAAGTTCAGTTTTAGTTTCCTCTGCTGAATTTTATGGTTCATAGCTCAAATACATAGCCTGAGTAAGGGGCACTGGTTTTAGCCCTACTGCAGAAATGTACATCTTGACAGAATCTATATGACTGGTATTTTCTAGTGAATCTCACGGTTACCCCAACCCCCACATATCTTCATTATCCTGAAGGATCATGTCCACAAGCGTTAGTGATTTAAAGCCCAATCAGACCAGACAAGACTTAGGCACTGGCAATGCAGCATTTTGGTGTGATACACATCCGTAAGACAGTGGTCCTGGGCTATTTCCATGTGTCACTGAGTCACAGTGGTGAATACACATGTATAATTGCAGCCCTACCATTTACTAAAGATCTAACGCTATTTCCATTTCAATAAGTAAATCAGACATAATAAAACAGAGAAGTTAGAATATCTCATATTCATGCTTTTTTGATTTGCTATAATTAAATTAAAGTATTAAAACACTTCAACTCATAATCTTTAGCACAATATTAATAGACAGCCAAAGTCTTGTTATTAATTTCATGCACTGGGGAATTATTCTGATGAGTGCAGATTGATTATCTCCATGAAAGAATGATGAATGTTAGAGACTGGAGAGATTGGGATGTTCAGCGATGCCTAGAAAATTTTTCTTGTAAATAAATGATGATAAAATCTACCAATGCACATAAATATATATAATTTTTGTATAATCCGTATACCTCCCTCCATTAAGATTATATTTACTTGAATGTCAGGAAACAGACAAAAAAAGCAACCTTAATTGTGCTCCCTGAAGCATATGAAGCACTCCACTTTTGTTGTGTGGTCCTGTATGGCTTCTGCTCTGAAGACATACAAAACCCTGACCATGACTTCAGTAGAAGCAGACTCAGGATTTATACCCTGGAAGGAGACTGTCTAAATTGCCTGTATATAACATACATGATTAACACAATGGTGTCTTTTCCCCTGCAATAAGCATATTACAACATTGCAAGTAATGTGTATTTGTTGTATTCCTTGAGAAATCCTACAAAATCTTGTAATTGAAAATGGTTTCATATCAGAAAGTTAGAGGGGGAAAAGTTAGATCTGTATCGATGAAACAAAGATTATAGTCAGATGCTGTAACTCTATTCTTCACAAGTTAAAAACTTTGCTCAATTGTGCCACTGCTGCACCAGCAATGAGAAACTACTAACAATCAATCTGCGGCTGGCATTCATTACTGTTTATTTAAATGATGTGTTTTAATTTAAATTTTCATTCCATTTGATTGTTTGTTTTTTATTTCTATACTCGTAAATAAATTGCTCCACAAACAATCTGAGAAAATATACCTGGAAAAAATATTGAAACTGGCATTTAGTTCATCCTCCTAACTCAAAGCGGGGCATGATATTTGTCTAATCTCTAAACCTAATTTAGTAATCTTCCAAAATATATGTCTTTTCACTATCAACACAGCAGGTAGGTGTCATAATAAATGTACAGAGTGAGATGACATTTTAGGACAGCACAGCTACCAGCTGGCAGTGCTCTGGAGGGTGGTAGGGCAATGGGAGCCTTGTGCACCAAGTGGGACTTGTGCAAATTTGCTTTTTACCTCAATGGAGCTCAGTTCAACGAGGAGAAAATTGGAGAAGAACAATACAAATGCTAGGAGGAATTCTTGGATTCCACACTATGGAACAAAAGGCTTTTATTGACTTTAAAGACTGTTGCAGGGCAATTAAGACATTCTGTAGTCATTCACAAATGTAAATTTCAATAATTCCTGTAGGACAGGTTTGTGAAAAGCATTAGGAAATTATGTCAGTAATTTCTCTTTGTTAAAAGATAACCCATATTTGATCAAAGACCTAAGAAAGCTTTTATAGATGATTAAAATAAATTCTTTGGGAGGGTTTCCTCCCCCCCGCCCCAAAGTATGGAAGATTTAGCTCTATGTTTTCTGTTACTGTTTGGCCATGTTAGTAAAGCCCTTGTAGTACTGTGGAAATATCAGCCAGAGGATTAGCAAGGAAAAATCCGGTATCCGTGGAGTGAAGGGGTAAGGGGAGAGAAGGTGACTTTTTAAGCTGTCACTCTCTCTAATTCCTTTTTTTCCCACTAGAGATCACTTTACTACGTAGCTATGCCAGCAGAGCTCCTAACTATGATGCAGAAAATACCAGCAAAACAACCTTTCTGCTGGCATAGTTTATACTATAGTTAATTTTTTTTTGCACGTATTTTAGGATTTTTAGATGAAAGTAAACTCTGTGTAACTGTTCTCCATTTCACTTCTGTACTAAATATTTCAGTGGCCAAGCATGTGGCATTCAGAAGCCCAGGAAGCCTTCTGCTTCCCTCCGCCAGACTTTGCCTACAAGGCGAGGGCAGGGATTGTGGCTCCCCGGGGGCTCTCCGGTTCTCCCCCTCCCTGCGCCAATCTCCCTGCTCCCATCACAGAGCTCACAGGTGTCAGAGTCCTGGTCCTCTTGGTCTTTAATAGCTTTGTGACAATTGAGTGTTTTTCTTGTCATCACCTACACACGAGTAATAGCCAAACACAATTTTCAGGGCGTAAAACTGAAACTCCAGTGAGCACCCTCGAGAAATACATATCTTTGCTTGAAGGCACCCTGCTAGTGCAAATGATCAGATGACTTTTCCTGGGAACAGTTACAGCTACGTATATATTTTATATATATATATATATATGTTATAATAAACACTGAGAACACAAATAACTGCCGCCAGAAACAATATATAAACTTTGCAAAGACTCCAGAATACAATACATGGCAACTGACCAGATAAACAAATTCTGTGCAAGGAAAGAGAGGTTATTTTTTCTGCAATGATTATCTTCTTTTCTAAGACCTGGTGAGTGAAGTTCTTAAAGCAACATTATGGGAGAAAGGCTACAGTGAAAAAAAAAATCAATACAGCAATCAGGCAGCTTTCTGTGATCCGAGGGCTATTGTGTTAACGCAGAAAATGAAATTGTTTTCTAAAATACGGTTCTATTTTAACTCTTCCTGTGATTAAAAAAAAATAGAAATGGTATCATAGAGACAGCCTTCTCCTATGAGATGCAAAGCTATATTTGTTCTTCAGGTACAATTAATATACCCAGCACAAATATAAATGATTCAGCATTAACAATGACAATTTGAACATGCAAACTTTGCTGTGAAGTGTTTTGGGAATAGTAGCTCCTGCTGGAAGACAGGAAAACATATTTAGTTGCTTCTGGCTCCCCCATTTGCATGTATTTTCAGCAGGGAACTGCCAAATGCTAAAACATGTCAAAATACATTTCATGATGGGATATCATTAAACTTTAGTTCTTGTGGATACATACCTTTCAACCTCCATAGATCAGGCTGAGGATACAAAATGTGTCAAAGACTCAACAGGAAAAAATTATTCACACTGAAATTTTAAAATGCCATGAAGCTCATTCCCTCAGTGAAAATAATTCTTTGATAACTTCCTTTTATTTGATGTAAGCTATATTAAGTGAAGGGATACCTTTTCAAAGATAATCTAATTTGGAAATTTTTTGAAGAAGATCTCTTTAAATGAGTCAGATAAAATGGAAAATCGGAAGTCTGGGTATCACTTTTGACAATCAGCTGAAGACAAACATCCAATTTTGCATATGTGCTATTACATTTATTCGATAATAATTTCTCTAACCTATTAGGGAGGTCAAAATGTTCCCCAAATAAAAGTACTTAATCCATTTTAGTTCGTTTAAAAAGGGTATTTTGAGGGACCATTTCAGTTAAAGTTTTAGTAACGCTGTATCAGGGAATTGATCAGCCTTTTCTCTTACAGAATACAGTCACTCTGCAAAAGGGGAAACATAAAATCATGATATTCCATTTTGTTTCCTGACTGAAATGTTCTAGGTTAAAAGGGCGTCACTAGCTCTGAATATGAATAAAAATTACTGAAAATCAATTTGTCTTCATGTCCTCTGTATAATTTACTGAAAACTATCTTCCTAATTGCCGCTTCCCTGTGCAGCAAAGTATTTCAGAGTATTTCTAGAGTGTAAGAGCATAGCTTCACATGGTGGGAGGGAGGGTGCTTCTGCACCTGGGAATGGGTAGTCAGCTAAATTCAGCTCCTTCAAGTTTTCCTAATGCAGAACACAGCTTCATATCCCAGAGAATAGCACTGCTAACTCCGTGTCTATCTCCAAGAGAGGAAGGAGTACTGATGTGAGAGGGTTTCCACCGCTCATTTCGTGTGGCTGCAGATTTGATTAGGGCTATGCCACCTAAAGTCCAACCCTTGCCTGAGGACTCCTCACTGGCCTCCTAGGGACAGAGAGGAGCTAACTGCCTGTGTGTTTCTCTCCTTTGCTCCCTAATAATCTTACTCTTTCCAAGGAGATTAAAGTCTTGCTCTTTGTACTTCTGCTTCAGATCGTAAGCACTGATGTCCCCATATCAGTAACAGACAGTGTTGGAAGCAGGTGCTTTGGGATGCTAATTGATGGCAGAGAAATGTCAGTGTTCAGCAGTGAAAAGATTTGGGGAATTGAAAAATGAGATGTGTATAGCAAAAAGAATTATTTAAAAAATTAACCATTATGAAAGAAGGCTTAGAAATCCTCACACAGGCTAAACAAAGCAAAATATTTTATTATTTGTAATTTAAGAGCCCCTAGGAATGTAATAAAATCTTTACAGTATCGATGCAAAGGGAAAATTCTCAGCTCAGTTCTGCCATGATGAAAATAAGAAAAAACCTACACTCCAGAAAGCACTGGAGGCTGAAGGAAGAAAAAGAACCTTATGCTGTACCCCACCCCAAATCCTACGTTGTTACTTGATAGACTTGTGCACAATATAGTGGAGAAATATGACTGTAAAATAAAAAATGATGAGGTAAAACCATAGACAGTCTTTCTTTTGAAAAGGGCAGCGCAAGAAATAGAAATTGGCCTTTTAGTCACCATGCAGGCCTGGCCTAAGATCTGAGGGTAGATCATAGCAAGAACTCATTGAGGGAGAAAGATGATGATCAGGAAAAGAGTATTTAGAGGCGATGGTGAGATTCGTGAGAGTGCAGGAAAAAGATGCTAGTAAGAAAACTTACAATGAACTAATTTATGATCTGAGAAAATCTCATCTGAGACAATAATTCAGATTGGCAGGGATTGAAATATTTATAAAACTGAGCCTGAAGAACAAGGATAATTGACCTCAGAGGGAATCACAGGGAGCTGGCTACTGAGTGCTAGGACCACTTTGATATATTACTATCATTAGTGCTGGCTTGGATCTTGTTCCAAAATAGTCTACATTATTTTTCACTTTATCCCATCACTACTTTCAAGGTGTCCACAGGACATGAGAGAATAATAATGATTCTTGACAAAATTGTAATAAGAAAATGCTGAACTATCTAATAGTACATATGCCTGTGTACTGCAGAAGTACTTTAACTATTGTTCTTGCCTACTCCTTCCTGTTCTTCCAACAGACCCTTTATGATAGGCAGAAGTGCCTGTAAAGGAATGAAAACATTTTTAAAATGATTGTTCATTAATAAGAGGCAAATCCTCATTTTTCAGGAAAACGGCAAAAAAAATGTTCACATAAGAACTGTGTACTCTGGCAAAAGGTCAAGCACTGGAGCCATACAAATGAGAGGGAAGAACGTGTCAGGGTTGGTGCTGTGGATGAGCAATTTCAGCCACATCTATACCAGACTTTGATCCTGCACGTGACGCTACAGTTGACTCCTCAACTACTTCTACAAAATCTTACTCTGGGAAACATCAGCTTGCATAGTCAGTTACAGGAGAGGGGTCTTATATCTAACGGTTCTGTAGAGTGTCTTTGATACCACAAAATGAGTAAGGGAAGACTACAGACCACAACTTTATCCCAACAGATTTCTTATTTTAGTAGATATCTATAACAAAAGATACTGAAATGTTCTTACTTTCTTCAGAAAGATCATTTTCTTCTGCTTCTCTTTCCATTTCTTTACACCATCCTTCCATTCTCTTAGTTTCAGTATGCAGCAACTTCATAAACCAAGATCCGTCTCGTCGACAAGGAGACATTCGACCAGTCTCTACTGTCTCAATCGCTGGCTCTAACCATGGTTCTGGTGGTGGAAGGTTTGAGGTGTCAACTGGGGTCCTATAATCTTCTCTGTAACTGAACAGTCCCTGTGTCCGTACAGTTCTCACTGCGCTGTATTGGGTGGGCGTGCTGGGCTCTGAGTGCTGCTGGAATGACGAGCCAAACTGAAGTCCCTTGTCCTCCATGGTGATGTGTCCTGGAAAGCCCTCTAGTTCTAGGTCAGCCTGGACAGCTGCTGTTACACTGTTTGAGCGCTTGAATCGTCCATGTCTTGGTGAAGAGGGAAGAAAGAAAAGAGATTAAGATATATAAATACATACGTGATTATACAGAGGCACAGAATAATGTTTCAGTGAATGGATTCTGGTTTTCTCCTTGAACTTTATGTTAAATATTTTTTCTTTGTGCATATCTCACTAAAATAAGACAGCGAGTAACAACAGAGAGGAAAAACAAAATGCATAGTGGCATCATTGATCTGAGCAAAGATACAGAAGAAAATCATTTAAATTATCTCTGGAAGCAAATATTGATTTATTCTCATACTACAAAATACCATGTATCATTATTAAATGAACTGGAAATAACTAGCAGAAGTGCAGGGTTACGTCTCCTGATAGAAGTCTGTAAAATGATTGTATAAAAAAAATCAAATATTAAGAATTGTAATTAGATAAAATCTGGAAATCTGCTAAGTTAGGACTGTTGAGAATCCTTCAGTAAAAGAAAAATAATATCACAGGTTTAAGACTGTGATATTTTTCACTTGCCTCATAGGATGGTCATTAAATGTTGGTATGCCACCGAATAATGACATTTTAGAAAAGCTTTATGTTAAAAAGTTAGATAGAGAAGCAGAGATTATTTGTGAAATCTTTTCACATCTGAGCTTATTGTTTCAAATTACTTCTAGTCAATGATGGTAAAAGGCAATTATCAGTCAGATACTGCCTGACAGCTGCCTTGAAATGAGATAATGGTCCCAGCCCAGTACTTAACAGGCAGTGCCTGCCAGGGATAACCTGTGGGTTGGTATGTTGGCCAGCAGTTTCATATAGGAAGGACTGAACAAGTATAAAAGCTGATTATAGTTTAGGGCAAAGGTACCAGACGTTACATCCTAACCATTATATCTTCCTATGTAGACTGGGAAAGCTTGAATCAGCATGAGAGGTCTTGTCAAAGGAAGAGTATTCCAATGTAGAGCTCTTTGTGTTTGTTCAGCCAATCTTGAAATTATATTAATCCACTACTTTAATTTAAACCTTTCACTTCCTTCCCTCTAATTAAAAACTGAAAAGTTAACTAAATATTAAGCAACTGCTAAGTAATCTCTATAAATTTTACTGAATGACCAGCATGTATATAAGCATTTTGGCTTTGCGAATTATTTAGGGGCAGCACTTGCCAGATGTTTGTTATTAACTGTGTTTACAAATTATCGTTGTATTATGAAAGACTACTTATTTTTGTGCATGCTTGAATTACCGTTTTTCATCTTCCACTTGTACTCCAACAGAGTGATATTCCCGTAGGCCTCTGCTTTCAGTATCTGAATCAGTTGCTGTTTCCACCTAATTCAACACAAAAGATACATCTGCAGAGTAAGCACCAACAACTCAGCACTATTTCTACCTGTACACATTCAAAATTAATTATATATTTCCTGTTTTACTGCTAAAAAACACCTAACAGTAAAATAAATGAAATATAGGTATTCAGCCTGGTATCATTGTTTTGGTTCTATGTTTTATAAAGCTTTGCACATGTTCTGCTATGCAATTCTGTTCTGCTATGTAATTCTCTATTTCAAACCTAAGCAGGTGCAATTACTCAGTTCAGTGGAAGCAGAGAGTAAACTTGGTGTGGAAGAGCTGTTCTTAGAACGAGGAATCCACAGGATAGCCCCTTTTTATATTATTATAAAACAGTCTCATTATAGTCCTTGATTTACAAAATAAAATAAAATCTCAAGTAGCCCAATAAACTTGCAAGTGATAAAAAGAAATGATGCAATGAAATTTTATCGACAACGGCGTTGACAAATATAGAACCATTTAAATGACGTGAGGGATACAGCAGAATGCCATATCTCACCTTTTTTAATAACACGGTCCTGAAAATGCTATATCAAGCAAGTAATTTACTCACTTTTTATAGTATTCCCATCTGAAATACACTTACTGAAATACATTCACAGTAGAATTTTCTTCATGAGACCACATTGCTTTTGCAAGTTTCTGTGTGATTTTATATAACACTCCCCACCACCACACCGCCCCCAAGTCTTTGACACAGATATAACGAGCGCTGCAGTATGCAAATTATACTGAATCATGGAAGAGTCAGGGAAAAAGAAAAAGAGTAGAACTGACTTTTCCTTTTGAATGATGTTTTCATTGTTAAATCAAAAAAATAATTTCAGCAGCCAGTTTTTCAATATGCACACTCCATCTGTGAATTCAGAGTATATTCTATGATGAAGACAAGATAACTTTTCCCCTTGCAGCAGTCACAGGCACCTCTGGAAGGAGCCCAATGGCCTTTGCAGCTGTCTCTCAGCTGCACAGTCCCAATCCCACCAGATTTCTGGAAGGATGCAGAGAGGGGGGAAGGAGGGTGGGAAGTGAATATGCATGTGGACTATACTTCTTGAAGAAGACCATTGCTGGTAACTTCTCTTTCCATCTTCAAGCCATAGCCTCATGTACGTTCACATAGAAAGGAATTCCAGACAGTAATCAGTACACATTCATATTAACCTGGATGTGGGAGACGTTCATGAAAACAGCTAAAGCGGGAACCCTACAGTAAATGTTAATGGCATGCTTGAACTGTAAAGTGTAGTGTCAGGCACAGGTTTGCCAAAAGCTCTGGATATCAGTGTGGCAACTGTCAGGGAAAAACACATTTCCTAGCAGATCCATTTATTCTGCATGAGGTCTAGGGGAAAGTGCACGTTGCTGTCTGTTTCCACCTCAGCAGTTGCATGGAAGCTGGCTAAATTCACTAGGACAGGCAGTGCATTGAGGGAACGAAGATATCAGACTTGCTAACAGTCTTCAGGATTTGGAGATGTCAGTATAAAAAGAAAGATCCCTCTTAAGTTGGCAGTGAAAAAAAAGCCTCAACCACACAGCTAGGCAGCTTGTGGAAAAAACCCCGAAACAACCAAACAAAAAACAGGCAAGCTGGTTTCCTTGTTAAGGGGGGCCTTGGCTGCAACCTGAGTGAGGTGCTTAACGTGTACTTGGTAACCCTCTCCTGAAAGAACATTGCTGTAAGTAGAAGAGCCATAAGTCCTGTTTCTTAGTGCAGGAGATATCTATCAGGAAAGTCACTCTTATTTATAGTATAGAAGGGTACAAAAGAGTCTTGAATAATAAGTTCAAGTCTAAGTGAGGGACTAGTCACTCACCTAGCCCTTCCAGGGGTGTGAGAAAACCTGCACATAAAACATCTTCGTTAGGTGAGCAGAAATTAATTAACTGGGCCGAGGATAAGATACTCATCAGCCTGCTGGGGGGAAGCAGAGAGGCAATTTATACTTGCAGCCTTGACTACAGTGATGAGAGCTCAGTCAAATATGCATAGGATATGCCTCTGTATAAGTCAACTTATTCTCAAAGGGAGTGGAGGTGGTAGATAGTGAATAAGGGCAGATAATACAAACTGAAAGAGGGTAGATTTAGATTAGATATTAGGAAGAAATTCTTCACTGTGAGGGTGGTGAGACAGTGGAGCAGGTTGCCCAGAGAAGCTGTAGATGCCCCCTTCCTAGAAGTGTTCAAGGCCAGGCTGGATGGGGCTTTGAGCAACCTGGTCTAGAGGAAGCTGTCCCTGCCCATTGCAGGGGGTTAAAACTGGATTATCTTTAAGGTCCCTTCCAACCCAAACCATTCTGTGATTCTATTCTATTCTATGATTCTATTGGACTGGGTCCAAGAGAAGGACTAACATCATTACTTCCAATTGTGGGACTGTTGATCAAGGTCCTTGAACTTCTTTGGATGAACTGTAGCTCCAGATGATGGTGTCAGTAATGCAGGCACAAGCTCCACAGGATTACAAGCCTGAAGGTTTGACACGGAAAAAGAGGTTTGTGGGTGGCGAGGGTGAAGAAGCTGAGCAGATTAGAACACAGGATTCATCAGGGCCTCCAGCTCATTCACATGGCTTAGGATGGAGGAACAGGACATTGTGTGCCAGACCAGACCTGGGCTGAAGCCAGACAAAAGAAGCCAAGCTGACATCTCCCCACACGTCTGTCTTTCCCTTCAGCTCCTTCTAAAGCACTGCACTTCCTTCATGGAGTGATATCCTTAGGACGACCATTTCTACATCCTATGCTCCTTGGGACCTCCTGAATGAGACTTGGGAGATGAGGTGGAAGCCAGATTGCTGTACATGGAAATAGGCTAAGTAAGGTCAATGTTATCATACTTGCGAGGCTAACATACAGCTAGCAATACTGTGGAGGTGAGCAATGGTCAATGGACAGAGAAGAGACTTTCGCCTTCCACAAGGATGTCTCAGCAGCTCAGACATAGTGCTGTTGGAAACATGATGGTCTAAAGATATGAACAATGAAAAGTCCCTATGGACAACGTCAATTTGGCCAATTGATGTTGTTGGAACAAAGCAGGCAGACTGGCAACACACACTTCTGTTCCATATTACGTATCAAAAGCATACCTGGTTTTGCCAATTACGTTGTTTGGTTTAGTAACAGATAGCATGTCTTCCATTGAACTCTGCTTCTGACGTGTGGAGGCAGATTTCCCTTTTATATTTTGAATGGGCTAGTACCTTTCCATTGATACAACACATTGAGAATGAGTCTTTTTCATCTACCTGTTTCCAAGTCCTTTCTTATTGATATTTCACCTAGAAGTATATCCTGAATAATTTGCCCGATATGCAACTGACACCTAGAATTTGCAGCCATAAATGAAGTAATCTTCTCTAAATTTTTATTCAAAAACAAATTATCAGGAAAATGATGGCCCAGGTATCAAAATATAAATGACACTAGTTACCTCTAAATATAAACTCTTGCCAAATTATCCTTCCCTCCAGCTTGCCAAGGCTGGCACTGACTAAATGACCTGATGATTGCCTTCATATTTTAATGCTTTCATTTTCTCACTGTGCCTTGTAACAGCAGGAGAATGCCAATTTGTATGTTTGTGTGTGTGTGCGCGCGCGCACACACAATCTAGGATTGCAAATATTGTAACAACCAACAAAAAAAATAGATCTGGAAAATGGAGGCAAATGCCAAAACAAGTAAAAGTGGGAAATAACAAAATGATTTGCACTCACAAAAAAACAAATGAACAAATGAATTGCATTTCTGAATGACAGATATTATAAAGACTCCTGCTAGAAGACAGCAGGAAACTCTTTAGATTTAATCAAATTGGCTAGGTTAGATTCAAATGCGCGGAAGGGAAAAAGCAATACGCTTGGTTTGATTGTGTGGCTCCTGAAACTCAAATAAGTCTTAATAAATCTGTTGTTATTCTCCATGATTCATTACTGTTTTAATACTTGCATGGGTTCTAAAAGCCTTAATATTTGTAAATTGACCCACAATCACAGTAAAGCAAAATAATGTGACAAATTATTTATCTATCTGGTTACGAGGGAGCCTCACACAGAAGAGGAAACAAAAAAATAGCCAGACATTAGCCAAAAGGAGAAGAAAGAAGAGGAGTAGATCTGATACAGCAGGTCATCTTCCTCTCTCATTGCAAGCAAAGAACTAAAACGTCTTTAAAAATTTGACACTTTATGCTATGAAAAATGTTGTTTTATGGGCTTATAGCATGCCCATAAGGCTTATAATATTAATAATAAACATAATGGAGCATTTTGAGGTTATTTCTGTCTTTTTTTTTTTTCACCTTTCACAAAGGCATAACACTCCCCTCCACGTTTTTTGCTGCCAATACAAGGAGCAGACAATACCATGAATCCTCTGTGATCAGTTACTGCTACCGATCCAGCTCAAAATTTGAAAACTACATATTAGATACTGACACTGACTTGGTAATAAATGATCCGCAAGTAGATGATACTAACACAAAATTATTTGAATAAATGCAAATCACTATTGCAAATAACTTGCTTGTTATAATCAATCTTTGTTTGTAGGCACTCACTCTAGAAAAAGATGTATGTACTGACTAAATTATTCCTTCAAAGTATTTACTAAGCTTTTATAGCTGATAATTTGAACTACTTAAAAGCGGCCTTTATTTCTGCATTAAAGTGTTATTCTGCTCTTAAGCATGAGCACTGCAACCTAACATTGTAGTGTCCTAAAAATTCCAGTCTAAGCTTCTGTATATACTGTCTCTAAGGGAGGCTTGAAGCTAATATATTCAATGCATAAAAACCCAAATTTTAACTTGGTGTGTTTCATTTCTCTCTCATAAGCATCAGTAATAGAAGTCCTTCAGGCCACATTATCTCTCCCCATGCAACTTCACTGACCTCAATGGGTTTTTACTGCTGTAACCGATTTGTTCTATAATTAGAATTTAATAAACAATCTCTCTGATGATGC